TCTAAGTGAACGCAAAGTGAAACAGGATACGTATAAAAATGGTCCCTATAACAACTGTGGCCGCGCCACGCAAGACACTGGGTGCAGAGCGGGTTCGTAGGTACCGCCATGACCCTTACGGTGCCCGTGTTCTTGGGTCACTTCCCACCGAGAATGCTTCTGTCACTGCTCTCTCATGTGTGGCTCCCCCAGAGTACAGTGCTGTAGCGGAAAAACTTGTGAAAACTGCAATGCCGGAAGTTTTGCCGATCGTAAGTTCGAATAGCCCTGTTGTCTACAGTGGTATTGTGGCATTCAAGTACGGCGTGAAGAGGTTCTACGCGCCTTTCTATGTGCAGGTAGGCGAGGCTGTCGTAACTGAGGGAGATCGTGGAGAGGACCTCGGCTTCGTGCAGCACGTTGAGGCCCTGCCCAGCGTCCCAGCCTATATTGGCGAGCAGGTGCTCCGTAAGGCCACGCCAGAGGACCTTCAACGCCACTACTCCCGCGCCGAGAAGGAAAAAGAGGCCCTCTGCACCATGCGCATGCTTGCAAGAGAGGTAAAATGTTCCGCATTCATTCAGGATATTATGTACCAGCTAGACGACCGCAAGATCACTGTTATCATTGCAAGGGAATCACGCTCGTACGTTGATTTCCGACGTCTTCAGCGTGCGGCGTTTGACGTGTTCCGTTGCCGTGTGTGGTGTGCATACCTCGATGAAATCACAGTACCTCAAGTAGGCGGTGCCACTGCCACTCCACCACCACTGCCGCCGCCGCTGGCGCAGCAGCAGCAGCGTCCCTTGTACGGAAGGCGGTCCTACTGTTCAGCGTTGCTATCCGGCACATGCGAAGTGAGCGCGCAGGCCTAAGCATTGTATGTATGGACCTGTCACAAGCCCCCTTTACGTCACTGCCATATGTTCTGTTACCTACTCCACGTCTCAAGAGCGGTGTATAAATAAAGGAGGAACAAGAGGGTCCGTAACGAGTGATTCGTATATACCAGCACTCCCGAGTTGGGGAAAGGGGGATCGTTTATTTTTCTGCTGTTGTGTCCAAGAGTCGCGAACTCTGGTTCTCGCATTCCCGGGGAGTCTCTGTGTCATCCCTCAGAGGTCCCTTCGCTGTTTCATTTCATTTTTGCCCGCTCCATCGTCGGCGCGCCGCGAAAGTTGAGAGCAGAAATTGCTTTGTTTTGTTTTATGTCATGGACGTCTCGACAACACAACGTGTGAAGGTGCGGAAAACAAGGGTGAGAGTTCCCGGCTTGCATACGCGCATAGTAGTATATAGCCGGCGCAAGGTGAACAAGTGACAAGGCAAAGCAAAGCGACTATTTGTTTCTACCCTATCCCTGGAAGACATTGAAGTGGCATTGTTGCTGTTCTGGGAGGAGCACCTCACCCTAAAAACCAACGCAAGTGTGTAATGGAGAGGCAGGAAAAACGAAACGGAAACTTTTGTTCCCCTACCCACTATGTATGTATACCTTTATTGGATTTATTTTCCCCGCCCACCAGTGTTTTGTTGTTTTTCTTTTTCTTTTTGTTGTTGTTTCCAAGCTCCCCCCCACTCCCCCACGCCTCCTGGCCATCAGCAGGGGGCCGGGCCCACTTCTTTTTCATTGTTATATGGACACAACGGTACTGTGCGCCGAAACAAAAAAAAAATCAGCAAATTTCGCGTGGCACACGTATCCCACCCCCGCCACCGTCGCTCCCCCTGCTTACCCCACTCAACACTCACCACCACGTCCATGACTGCGCGTTTTGTTTCTTTTATTGTTTCCCTTCGCTGATGATTTTTTTTTAGCTTCTTCTGCACGCGCGCGTACGACGGTCTTTCTGCATCCCAGATTCCCGTAAAGAGGAAGGGTTTTATCTTCACGCTTTAAAGGAGCTGGAACGGGGCTCGGCTTGTCGGCTCTATTGTTATTCACTCAGTATCTTTTTTTTCTTGTGTTGTTAATTCACTTTTTGTGTTTTTTTTTTGTGTTTGTAGCAGTTGTTGTTGATTTTTCTGTGTTTTGGTTTCCTTTTCTTTTTTTTTTCTTTCCGCTCGCTTCTCTCTGTACTAAGCAAATTCCAACAGTAAACGAACTGTAAGCATCACCTGGCAAAACCGTTTTCATGCACCTACTCCGCAGCAGGAGTGTGTGTGTGTGTGTGAGGGGGACAGCGTGGGATGGAGAGGGAGAGAGAGAAGGAAAAGTGGGTTGCACCTGTAATAAGCGTGTGGAGTCGGACGGTACGTGTCACGGCTGACACGTTTTTGTTGTTTCATCCCGCCTATCTCTCCTGTTGTCCCTACGGCTCTCTTATTCTTCCGGTGCCTCTTGTTGGCATTGTCGATCGTTTTTAGTTTCTTTTTCGACGACAAATGGGTGCTTGTGTTCTTCGTGCTTTCTGTCAGTATGTGTGTGTGTGTGTGTGTGTTTCCTTAGTTCTTTGTCTTGTTTCCCATACACTCCTCCACTCACTTGTTTCGCAGGCCTCTGTCTTGCTCCCACTCACGCGGTGCCGCATGGGGAGAACGCATAAAAAAGGACACACAATACATTGATGCAGGAGGAGGGAGTTTGGTGACAACTGAAAGAGAAAAAAACCCCGTATATATATACGCATCTACGCATACATACCCTTCGAACAAGAGGAGAAAGGCACCAAAGAAGTCTGTTTTGTTGTTATTGTTGTTGTTGTTTGGCTTCGGTGTTGTTGCTGCAACTTCCGCTGAGTGTGTGTGTGTGTGTGTGTGTGTTGTCGCAGCACTTCCCCACTCGTTATGGGGCCCCGCTTCAGGGAGTGCACTGCGCGGCAGTAAAGGGTGCGGGCACATGCCTACAGAGGCTTGACAGTGAGAGAGAGAGAGAGAGAGTGGTGCACAGAAGAAAAAAAGGAACGCACGTAACTAATATATGAATTCGCCCCATGCACACGCAGACGGGCCGCCATATTCGCTCAGCACAGGATGAAAATAGATAAGGGAGAAATGATAGTGCCGGGCAAGACGCTAAACAGGCACCCTGTAAGACAGCAGTAATAACAAGGAGTGCAAGTGAGAGGTGAACAGTCACAACAGTACAGCGTTCTGGTGCTTACTAAACTTTCACTTTTTTCAGCTTCTGCCAGTGTTGTTGTTGTTGCTGTCATACGCATGGACTGCGTGAGGAAGCGGCCATAAAACAGGGAAGATAGAGGGGGGAGAGAAGAAGGTGAGCGTCAACAAATAAGTGAACAAACAAGAAACAACAAGTGGAAAAAAAAAGACATACTAAAACTTTGTTTAATGAAGCAAAAAGTGATTTTGTTTTAACATATATGAAACGGCCGTCTTCGTGAATCAGCAATGAGCCCCGTTTTGTCCATCATCACTGGTCGCTGTGTAGAAGGGAAGTCTCCGAAATGAATTGAGGAAACCTTCATCCTTGTTTCAATTTCGTTCTCTTTTCTCTTCTTTTTTTTTATCTTCGCTTTGCACATAGGAAATCTCTGATTCCTGCGTGGGTATTCACAAAGGAGGAGAAGTGGAGGTGTGGTCACCGGCGGCACCTCGCCATTTTTCGTCCTCGTCAGTCTCACTGCTCCCGGCGGGCGGAAAGAGGGCAAGTGAGTAAGTCAGTGAGTCAGTGTGCGGAATCTACAACCGTTCTTTGTGTGGCTCTGTAGTGGGAAGAATATACGCACGCATCTCTGTTTCTTAATATACAAATACACCTGTTATTATATATATATATAATAAGATAGAGAAGATAAAAAAAAACAAAACCAGATAAAGTGAGAGTTTTGAGTCGGGGAAGAAGAAAAAAAGTGTGAAGGTACTAAAGTGGTTGTTGTTGTTGTTGTTGTCATGCAAAAGTACAAAATATTAGGTAAAAAAGGTGAAGGGACATTTAGTGAGGTGCTAAAGGCACAGAACATAGAGACAAAACAGTTCGTCGCGATCAAATGCATGAAAAAGTCTTTTAAATCCAAGGAGCAAGTGAACCGACTTCGCGAGATTCAGGCAGTGCGGCGGCTGCAGCCCCACCCCAACATTGTGCAGCTCATTGAGGTGATGTTTGATAGGTCAACAGGGCGTCTTGCGTTGGTGTTTGAGTTGATGGAGATGAATCTATACGAACTCATAAAGGGGCGCCGGCAGTATCTCAGTGAGGAATGCATCATGAGCTTCATGTACCAGCTACTCAAGGGGCTTGACCATGCGCACCGCACCGGGCTGTTTCACCGCGACCTGAAGCCGGAGAACCTCCTCGTAAACGAAGACGGCACGTTAAAGATCGCCGACTTCGGCTCCTGCAAAGGGGTCTACTCACGACAGCCGCTGACGGAGTACATCTCCACCCGCTGGTACCGCTCCCCTGAGTGTCTTCTGACCGATGGATATTACTCTTACAAGATGGACCTCTGGAGCGCTGGATGTGTCTTCTTCGAGATCATGGCCCTTTACCCCCTTTTCCCAGGGAAGAACGAGCTCGACCAGATACACAAGATACACAACATTCTAGGCACACCGCCACCTGAGATATTAGACAGACTCAAGAAGTGTGGCACGCACATTGACTTTGAATTCCCACAAAAACAAGGAACTGGGCTGGCAAAGCTTTTGCCAAACGCTTCGCATGTCGCTTTGGAGCTTCTGACCAAGTTGTTAGCGTACAATGAAGAGCAGCGGGGAACAGCAAAGGATGCGTTGCGGCACCCGTATTTCAAGACCCTGCGAGATAGGGAAAAGAGAGCCCGACGCGTACGGCAGGAACATGAAAAGGCAAAAGCCTTGGAAATGAAGCTTGGAAGTACACTGCCTCGGTTGAGCATGACGTGTTCACAGACGCTGTTGGTTCACACGGCCTCACAGAATATGATTAGTGCCCAAACCAGAACTGCCACTGAAATGCAAGGGAACGCTGGCATGTCTTCGTCACTGCCAAAGTTGTGAAAAAGCGGGATGGTGGTGCTTGATTGTGTGTAACGCGTTATTTTCCTTTTACTGTTGTGTTATTGGGGGAAAGCCGGTCTTTTTTTTTTTTTCCTACCGTTCCCTCATTCTTCCACTTCTCCTTCTCCCACCTGATGGCTTTGTGGGAATCACGTGGGGAGGTAGCATGTGTGTTAGCTCCTTTGTTACCGTGTCCCTGTTACGCTGAGGGAAGAAAGAAAAAGAAAGAAGTGCTGCGTGCGAGGCACCTGTGTCACACCCATGCGCTTTATTGGGCGCCGTTGATCATGTGATTAGTTGTGTGCAGTGTGTGGGCTGCTTCTTCCACACGGCATGGCCAAGAGAAGGCCGAATCGAAGGCGGGAGGCTTCGGCTCCATTTGTTGAATGGGAGGCAAAAAGTGTGTACGCGCTGTGCAAGTGCACACACACA